TGCGTTGGTTTTGCGTGCAGGGTCATACAATGGTCAGGTGTTAGATCAAGCAGCGGTAGCAGCATTAGCTAGTATCCCAAGTCGCGATGAATTGTTATCTAAGCTATTGTTTGTTATGCAAGCGCCTGTTTCTGGCATGGCTCGTGCATTGGCAGCTTTGGCAGAGAAAAAACAAAGCGAAGCAGCGTAAATTATTTTGGTTTAATTGACGTTAAATCAACTACCTAATATTTCTGGAGAAATTGAACATGGCAATTAGTAAAGAAGACATTTTAGAAGCCGTTAGCGCAATGTCGGTAATGGATTTAAATGACTTGGTGAAAGCATTTGAAGAAAAGTTTGGCGTTTCAGCAGCAGCGGTAGCCGTAGCAGGTCCTGCAGCGGCAGCGGCAGTTGCTGAGGAAAAAACCGAATTTGATGTGATTTTGGCCGATGCCGGCAGCAATAAGGTTGGCGCGATTAAAGCCGTGCGTGAACTCACGGGCTTGGGCTTGAAAGAAGCTAAAGACCTCGTTGAAGCAGCACCTAAAGCAGTAAAAGAAGGTGTTGATAAAGCGACAGCTGAAGAAGCTAAGAAAAAATTAGAAGATGCTGGTGCGAAAGTCGAGCTCAAATAATTGTTGATTTGTGTTTTGGGTGCCAACCGAGGTTGGTACCACAATGCTCAACAACTCTATGAATGGCCGATTTTAATAGCAGTTATCAAAAAATCGTGGATGACAAGATCGATTATTTTTTAATGACTGTTAAGGCAAAGCTAAATGTGGAGCCTCATTTTTATTTTAAATAGGATGTACATTTGAAATGGCGACCAAAGCATTGTTATGTACGAACATTTTGGGTGAGAATAAGGTCAGTGAGGTCAGTGTTTTTAGGGTGTTTTTACACCGATAGCTCATGTGTGTATTGGTCGGGTACTGCGTAGTATCGTCCGCCAGTAGCTAGTAGTGGCTAGCTGCCAATATACGTTGCGTTGGTCTGTTTGGTTTGAAGTAGATTAACGTGTATCTTATTAATTTTAATGGTTTTTGGTTGGTGTCTTTGGGCAAGGAATTGTCCTGACTGTTTAGACGCAAAAAAATTGTTCCCGAATCATAAACCCCCTTCAAAATACCCGTTTGTTGCCGCGTTTTTTTTATTGCGTTTATAAGGTGGACGTATAAACGAAACGATAACGAAGGTCCTACCAATAGTCGGAATAGTAAGGCGAGGGGGAATGACATATTTTATTGGGGGGCAGGTATGAGC